ATATGTTAAAAAAAAAAAAAAAAGATGGTAGGAAGGGAAAAATGAAGGGGGGGAAATCGGAGCAGGAGATGAACCATGAGAAACTATGGTCTCTGAGAAACAAACTGAGGGTTCTAGAGAGGAGGGGAGGTGGAGAGATGGGTTAGCCCGGTGATGGGTATTAAGGAGGGCACGTATTGCATGGACCACTGGGTGTTATACACAAACAATGAATCACAGAACACTACATCAAAAACTAATTATGTAATGTATGGTGATTAACATAACATAATAAAATGAAATTTAAAAAAAATCATAAGTCAAAATGTAAACCTAGGTTCCTAAAAGTTTTTCTAAAGTTATGAAGTAGTTTTTAAAAGATAATTATTGTTTTCTAAATTATCTTAATTATCGAACACATATAAACTATATACATCACCAAAAATATAAGTTTATCTTATCAGCACAGCCAAATAGCAGTGTCAAAGAATCTAAATCTGGATTCCATGAGTTAGTTATTCTAGCAAAACAATTAAGTGAATCTTCTTCCACTGTATCTTCTTTTCCTTCCCTCTCTCCCTTTCTTCCGTTTTCTTCTTTTTCTTTCTTTCATTCTTTTTCATTTTTCTCTTCTCCCTTTTCCCTCCTCCCTCCCTCCTTCCCTCCTTCTTCTTTCTTCATTCTTTCATTCATTTTTTAATAGGAGAAGGGTGGGTAGACGAAAGTAGAGATGTGGACAAGATAAAAAGAGAAGGAATCCTAAAAAAGGGTAATTATTTTTAAGACTGAATGATTTCTTCTTTTAACTACAGAATGTAAGAATGAAGAAATCTTTACTCCTTGTGGTATTTTTAGTCAGTGGTTTTTTGTTTGTTTGTTTGTTTTTAAATAAACTTCTATTAGCACTAACTTAAAATGAAAGAATTAGAGACCAGATATATCTGGTTTCCATCACTAACCTTTTATTCAACCAGGTAACAAATAGTTATTGAGTACTTAAAATGTTCAAGGTATTTCTCTAAGTATATTTAAGCATACAAAACATGAATAAGGCCTTCTTACTAACCTTAAAACAAGCTCAGAGGCAAACAACCTTCATTTGTTTCATTCAGTTTCCTCAAGTATAAAATAAAGGGATTGGACAAGTTATCATCCAGTGTCCCTTCCAGCTCTGACATTTAATGATTCTAAATAAAAGAAAGATAGGGTAAGCAGAATAATGGAATCCCAAAGATGTCCATGTCCTTTCCCAAAACCTGCGGTTATTTTAACTTACATGGCAAACAGGGCTTTGCAGATGTGATTAAGTTAAAGATCCTGAGATGAGAAGATTATCCTGGATTTCCTAGGTGGACATAATGTAATCACAAGGCCCTCTTATAAGAGGAAGGCAGGAGAGACAGAGGAGATGTGATGGTGGAAGCAAAGGTTGGAGTGATACGACCATAAGCCAAGGAAAGTAGGCAACCTCTAGAAGTTGGACAAGGCAAGAAAGGAATGGTTTCCCCCTAGAAATCCCCAGGAAAGAAGGCAGCTTGCTGACACCTTGATTTTAATTCATAAGACCCATTTTTGGACTTATGTCCTCTAGAACTGTAAGATAACAAATTTGTGTTGTTTTAAGCTACTGCCTGTGTGGTAATTTGTTATAGCAGGTAAAGGAAACTATTACAATAGATATTTGTAGTTCAGAGAACTACAAGAGTTCAGAGAAGAAGAAAGATCTTCTGGGTGAAAGAAGAATCTATTCTCAAGTTAAATGTACTATTAATGAACCTCAACAATGAACAAAAAGTAAAACTAAGATTCTAAATTCAACTTCTTACTAATAGAATGCTTTTGACAAATGTAACCATTATTTCTGATAGACTCAATGTTATTTTCTTAGCATATCTTAAATGCTTTAGTGTACTGAAAGTTATATCAAGATTTTGTAGCAGGAGGGAGCTGTTTGGCTGATGTTGGTGTTCCTGAAGGACGAGCCCTGTGGGGCTGGCATACAGAACTCTTGAGGAGTGGGAGCCAAGTGGCTTGTGGTGCTGACATTTCTGACATAGGGTTCACTAGGCTGGTACTGTGAGTGTTAGAAAAACTGCAAACTGGACTCGGGTATAGCTATGGGAAGGAACTGCTGCTGTGAAGAAACCCTGCTAGGATGATGGAAAGCAAAGAGGACACAAACACAAGGAAGTAAGTCTCTTTTTTCTCTTCCTGCCATGCAATCTCCCTCTAGCCCACCTTTTTACCAGAGCTCAACAGATATGCAAGGGCTCCAAACATATCAAATCTTTACTGAGCAACTGTTATGTGCCAAACAATGTTCTAGGGACTGAAAACAAATAAACAAAAAATACAGTAGCAAATAAGACAGATCACACCTGAAAAGAATTACAGAGGTACAAAGAGATAGGATTTAAACATGATAGTAAGACTTCGAGAAAGAAGTTATAATAAAAATACTAGTAGTGAGGAAGAAACAACAAAAATAGTCAAAAAGAGTAAATCAACATGCTTATAAAATAAAAAGTAAATGCCAATAATAATTCCTCAAAAAGAATGCTAATGATAATAGCAGCAAGCTCTTACCTAGCACTACTATGTGCCAGGTAATGCTCTAAGTGTATTAATTATTTAATCCTAGCAATGCGGCAGGTAATATTATTATCCTGATGTCACAAATGAGACAACCGAGACAGAAAGGTTAAGTACTTTCAGTGAAGTCACACAGCTGGTACGTGGCAGAGCTGAGATTCAAACAGGCAGTGTGATTCCAGGGACTATGCTTTTAAAAAAACATAATGTGTTTTACATTATATAAAGATAATAATTTAGAAGTAATAATTTTATCTGAACTCCTATCTTATACAAATAAAACATGAATTAATGAAATATGGGTAGGAGAGAATTCCCGACTAATCTCATCATAATACAATTTCCTTTATATCCTACACATAAATAAACATAGACACATAGGATATAAAGGGAATTATAAAAGGAACAACAATAGAATTAAAAATAGAATTTCAATTTTGAAATCTTTAGAGGAAAAAGGTAAATAGTATTATATATACTAAAAAAAAGTTTTTAAGAAGGACATGGCAGGATGTTATACAGAAAGTCTAAAGTAAGTTCATAAAAGATATATGTCTGCATCAAACACCGCCTTTAAAAAACTCAGGTTCTTGGGGCACCTGGCAGGCTCAGTCGGTGGAGCATGTGACTCTTGATCTCAGGAATGTGAGTTCGAGCTGCATGTTTGGTATGGAGACTACTTAACAATAACATTAAGAAAAAAAAA